GTGGACTTGTTGGGCCGAAGGGCCTGTTTCCACACTGTAGGGAATCGATGAGTTTTTTTTCTACGAGTTAAAAATCAGAGTTAACGTTTCGGGTTCGGTGACCCTTCAGTTCTGAGGAAGGGTCACCGGACCCGAAATGTTAACTCTGTTTTTTTCTTCACAGATGCTGCCAGACCTGCTGAGCTTTCCCAGCAACTTTGTTTTTGTTCCTGAATACTCGTAATGGGTAGGTAGTCCTCTGAGGAAACATTGGACAGATTAGGCTGGTATCCCTTAGATAGAGACAAAAATATGTTGACTGCTCCTTTCCTCCTAATGCTGACTGGCCTGCTATGTTCTTCCAGCCTCTTGCTTGTCTACCTTGGTATCCCTTGGAATTCAGAAGAATAAAGGGCGATTAGACTGAAACATATCACGAGAGGTTTTAACATGGTAGATGGGAGAATCTAGAATTAGGGGTCACTGTTTAAAAATTAGACATTGCCCATTTGACACAGATTAGGTGAAATCTCTTATCTCAGGCAGTTTTAAGTCTTTGGATCTCTTCCTGAAAAGGTATGGAAACAGTCCTTGAATATTTTTAAGGCAAAGGTAAATAGCTTATTGTTAATTAAGGAGTGAAAGGTTATCAAGGATAAACAGGAATGTAGATTGGAGGTTGCAATTAGACCAGCCGTAATGTCGAATGGCAGCATGAGGGGATGAACGGTCTGTTCCCAAGTTGTATGTTCATGTGTTCATAACTTCCATCTTGACAGCATTGTAGATGTACCTATACCAGATGGACCGCAGTGGTTCCAGCAAGTGGATTGCTGTCAACTTTCCAAAGCAAATAGAGATGGGCAACAAATGCTTGCGTAGCTAGCAATGCTTGCATTCTGTTAGAGGGTATAAACAAACATTGTCCCCACCCATTTGGGAAAAAATATAAATAGCAAAGGGAGAAGATGCTGTTGATGGTGTCTTCACTGATAACCGAGTGGAAAGATGAAACTGATAAGATTGGATTTGTATATCCTGACCACAGAAGGCTGTACTTTTAGTCATGTGACTATAGGACAGAGACTGTCTTTACTCTATCTTCCCACAGGAAATGGAGGAAAAATCTGAGGGAAATTCAGCACAGATCAGTTTTAGATTATTCTGTCATCCATCATTTTGCATAGAATTCTAGGATGTTTGGCTGCAGATAGGCCATGTTGATCTGATGATGGCATGACGCACATAGAGACAGAAGGTTGAGTTGACTACGAGTGTTGGTGCATGTGCAGACTTCCTAGTGAAAGTTTTGGGAACTACATTGAGATGAAGGCTCTGGTGTAGTGAACTGTGATAAATGTAACAGATTCACAGAATAGTTTAATAAACTTTGCATCTATAGGAGAAAAAAAATACCATTGAATGGATCAATATAAACAGTGATCCTTTTCTAATTAATATCATTGTTGGAAATTCACAATCATGTTATTTTGCCAGCATATAAATAACGGAAGTAAACATAGTTTAGCCCCCACCGTGTCAGGATTAGAAAAATAGCGGAGGCATTTTAAAAGATGTTGAAATATTGCTTGGTTTTTCTTCTTAGTCAACGTATTCTTTTTCACAGAATGCTATCAAGTGGGAAGTCAAATATTGTTCTTTGCCGTGGCTTTCTTTATGGAAGTCATTAATGCTGCCAAATTCAGGATGTGCTGTACATGTTACCAAAGTAGCTCACCCATTGTCATTCGAGTTGATGAAATAGCTTGATTACATAAAATATTTCATTTAGCTACCTTGTTAAGAATTGGCTAACTGCCTGTGTGAAGTGGACTGATTGCAGTGACTAAGAACTGTTTTAGTTGCAGGCCTGGAACCATAATTGGAGGATATTATTAACCAATAATAGGAAGAGGAAGGAAGAAATCCTATTAAATGCAACAAAACTTCTAGTGCTAAATGCTAAGTTACAGATGTTTGGTATGCTTTTTCATTTCTTACCGAATCCACAGGCTTGGTACCATAAGGGATCACATCATTCTTGCTGTTCGTCAGGAATACATCATCTTGGGAGATCAGCTTTTGTTCCTCCAGCCAGGCGACGAGATCGCAGTCATCCCCCCGATCAGTGGGGGCTAGCTCCTGGCATACATATGCAGGTATTTCCAATTTCTCCTCAAATATGACTTCAGGTGCAGGAGGCCGTACATTAAAATTCCTGATGGAGTCTTTAATTTTAGCCAGGTCGACTGATTCCATTGTTAGATGCCTTTTGAATTTTCCCTTTCGTCTGTTCCCACTTGGCTTTGTATCTTTATTATATGGAGCCATGCTACTTTTATGCAGTTTCACTGTAATAATATAAATACATTTCATATTAGTCATTTTTAAGACACTGAATGCTAACAACTACAGTAGGGTTAGTCATTGAGAGAACGGAATGGGCCTGGTGGATGTTATTTCTAACAAATTGAATATTTTGCATGGCTTGTCAGAATTAGTGCCAAGATAGTTGCAGGCTCAAGTTGTATCTGCAGCATTTCAATAATGGTCAGTAAAACTTTACAAATTTAAGGTTATCACAAGCTAGGTGTGCTTCTTTTTTCCAATAATAATTTCCAATAATAACCCTTTTAGGAAGTTTTAAGGAAATAAATTAGGCCAACACATACCATGACTATAATTTTGAAAAAGTGTTCTGTACAGAAAGTGTTACTGCAGGATAAATTATGCCAAAAATTAATGGGAAAGAAGCAAAGATTTGTCAAAACAGTTTTTTCTCGAGAGCAGTAGACAAAACTGCCTGTATTACATCCAGTAGAGATGTGCAGTAACATTTGTGCTATTTTAAAAATATATATTCCCCTCTTCACTGAGAAATGCAAAAGCATGTCTGCTGAAAGTTGTAGGATGATGATACAGAGCATACCTGCAATGTATAAAATAGCAAAGATAGTAATAGTAAATATTACCCACTTTAAACTTGCACATGGCGAAGTTTTCTGCTTCAACTCAAGCATTTAGGTACCATTGTTACTCAGTGAGCTTGTATGATTTTACTTTAAAGATAGTTTTAAATAGATGTAGGATGCCTGGTTCCTATAGCATATTTTACATCTTCCTATCTCTATTATTACAAATATCCTCTTTTCTACAGGTGCTATTATCTCCCACAGTCTTTCTTTTGATAACAAATCTACTTTGAAGAAACTTGTGTCAAGTTTCAAATAGAATTTGAAAGGATGATGAAAGTTGTACAGCGGAACATTTTCTTATGTTTTTACCCAGTGTTCGTGCTAAAAATCTTTTAAAAAAAAATCAAGATTACAGATGTTGTGTTAGTTTACAGAATAAAGGTCCCTTGATAGTTTGGGAATAAAGGAGCAGACATCTCACTTCTCTTTGATGTTCATGCATTCTTATCATTTCATTGAGTCATAAATAATGTTAAATTGTAAATGTGAGTTCTACAAATTTATATGTAAGATAGTATACAACTAGCTATACAAAAGCCTGGTTCGGCCACATCTGGAGTATTGTGTCCAATTCTGGTCACCTCATTACAGGAAAGATGTGGAAGCGTTAGAAAAGGTGCAGAGGAGATTTACCAGGATGTTGCCTGCAATGGAGGGAAGGTCTTACGAGGGAAGGTTGAGAGAGCTAGGGCTTTTCTCTTTAGAACAACGAAGGATGAGAGGTGACTTGATAGAGGTGTACAAAATGATCAGAAGTATAGATAGAGTAGGCAGCCAGAGACTTTTTCCTAGGGTGGAGGTAGCTTTTACGAGGGGACATAGTTTTAATGTGAGTGGAGGTAGATATCGGGGAGACATCAGAAGTGGATTCTTTACTCAGAGAGTGGTCGGGGCGTGGAATGCATTGCCGGAGAGGGTAGTGGAGTCGGCCTCATTAGGGGCATTTAAGCGGCTATTAGATAGACATATGGATGATAGTATAAGGTGGCGGTGGAGTTTAGATAGACGTTAGGTTTAGGGTAAAAGTTCGGCACAACATCGTGGGCCGAAGGGCCTGTACTGTTCTATGTTCTATAGTACTTGAACCAATAGGAAATGAATTTGAACCATTAATTTTGATTTTATTTAAGACTTGTAATTTCCAAGTCTATACAGGATTACATTTGAGTCATAAATGTTATGGAAAAAAAGTCTTGTCACTTCTAACTAATTGTAGCGGTTTCCCCTCCAGATAGAATTCAGAGATGATGATGATAAAGCAACTTTTGTGTCATTGCATTCAGAATTTTCTCCTTGTGCAGTTAGTAAAGTCCTGATGTTACGATTACTTGCTTTGATTTATTATTGTCACATGTACTGAGATACAGTGAAAAGTATTGTTTTGCATGCCAGCAAGACAAATCATACCTTACATAAGTAATCAGGGTAACAGAACAGAAAGCAGAATATAGTATTACAACTACAGAGATGCAGATCATAGTGAAAAGAGTCTGTCAATGTTCAACTTTCTTCATTTGACTTGAATACCTGGGACTTCGATGAACTGAAGCCTTTTTTTTTGACCTAGTATTGCTTCTGTGCGACAAACCCAAGTAACCCACATGGAATATTTTTTAAAAAATGGCTGAATCTGAACTACCATTTTAATCAAGAGGTACTGAAACTCTCTCTTTTCTCTTCCTTTATTTTCTTTCAAGTTGCTGTTATGTTCTCATCAAGACCTGGAACTGAAAAGAATGTTGATTCCTCCATTGCTTACTTCACAGGCCCACTGTTCGGATCCTCTGTCAAATGTGAGCTCATCCAAACTACTGCTTTATCTACCCTCACTCTTACCAAGTTCCATTCACCCGTCTCGCCTGTTCTCACTAACCTATCTCGGCTGGCAGTCTGCAGCACCTCCATTGGAAATTTCTTATCCTTGTTTTAGAATCTTTGCGTGGCTTTGCCCCATACCTACCTCTGTAATTTCCTCCAGCCCAACAACCAAAAGAGATCTTTTTTATTCCAATTCTGGCACCTTGCATGTCCCTAACTATCATTGCTGCACCATTGCTAGCCATGCATTTGGCTACCTAGCTTCTAGATGCTCCCTTTTTGAAACTGATGTAGCATATAATTTACATTGGAAAGTATTTTCCATTATATTTAATACATTTATTTACTTGTCAGGAGAGAAGAGGAGAAACAATGCACATATTTAAATGAAGTAAACTAAAAAAGGAAATCTTTGGATCATTTTGATATGCTAATGGACTCTGGTACTGAAGACTCTTAAAGGATAATAGTTGATCTGTAGAGACCACTCAGTCAGTCCTGTCACCAGCAAATAAACTGATGACTTATTTCCTTTCTCCAGTTACCATGAGTGAATTGGAAGATAAACCAAAGGATTTGATAAAAGTGACATATGAGAAACTTTCCACAGATGAAGTTGCAGAATCAGTGAAATCTCCATCTTGTGGAGCAGTGTCTTTGTTTATTGGTAAGCTATTAAATTATCCAACTAGAATTCAAGCAAAATATAATCAAAGACGCACTCCTTTCCCTAGCCATAAGTTTTTACTGAATGGAGATGATGAATTCGAGGCTTAAATTTTCAGTAAGTATTTTAATTGACAATATCTGTGTCATATCATCTTGTGCTTATATATTAGGCCAACAACCCAAAAGTGAGTTAAAATCCCACTGTGCTGAGTTGTGAAATTTGAATTTAAGTAACAGGATTTGTGGAGTGGTTTTTTTGTTATTCGTTCAGGGGCGGAGGATGTTGCTGGCTAGGCCAGCATTTATTGCCCATCCCTGATTGGTCAGAGGATATTTGAGTCAACCACATTGCTGTGGCTGTGGAGTCACATGTAGGCCAGACCAGGTAAAGATGGCAGATTCCTCCCCTAAAGGACATTAATGAACCAGATGGGTTTTTCCAACAATCAGCAATGGATTCATAGTCATTATTAGACTCTTAATTCTAGATGTTTATTGAATTCAAATTCCACCATCTGCAGTGGCAGGATTCGAACCCAGGTCCCCAGAACCAGTCTAGTGATAGTACTACTAGACCATTGCCCCCCCCATGAAAAAAGTAATCATGAAAGCTTCTACATTGTTGTAAAGTCAGAAAAAGAACTAGATGGCTTGCTAGGATATTAAGAGTCACAAACAAATAAGTTGTAAATAACCAGTACAAAACTAATAACCCAGCATCAAAAGTGTATCTGATCGCAATCTGTAGTCTCCTGGCCAGGCATACCCCATATTCCTTTGATCACCATCAAAACAAAGGTTCAACCTTATTTAATATATTCATAGAATGATGCGTTACTTCAGGTGATCGTTTTGCCAATTGTATCTGTGTCTGCAGCTTGAAAGAAAGATTTACTGTGTGCCATTTGCCTTATTTTCCCCTGAACTGTGCATTTTCCCATACACGTTTCCCCATTCAATTTGTTATGATTACGATGGGAAAGAATGCATTAAGTTTCTCTAGGCCCCCAACTCCACGGGTCTCAACATTAATTATTTTTCATGGGTTTTAATGGGGCCAATTGTATGCTTTTCCTATATTAGCTTTAAGATTAAGACTGATCAATCAGATTCCAAATATATGCCTGTGGTACCAATTTGTCCTCTGAAATGGACTTTGTGTAGCCCTTGCTTAGTTCACTGTACATAAAGGAAAAATTGCTCGAGCCTTATCCCAGAACTGTTGTCTCTCCTTGATGTCATTTGACCTTTCTGTGACTACTGGAGGTGCTACAATATTTACTTCTTCCAAATCATTCCCTTGAGTAGACCAACTCTTTTACAGGTAAACTACAGAGAATTCCTACATATACTGTTCCAAATGTTAGTTCACACTGCAGGTGCGCTTGATATGATACCAGCTAATATCATTCGTTAAACCTTGCTATTCACGCAGCTCTCTGGTTGAAAAAAGTCTTGCCTTTCTCCAACAAGAGTTTGGGTGCCTCCTGTATCCCTTAGTATGGCAATAGCTTCAACCATCTAATTTGATGAATTACAGGTTATTTTTCCTTTTGACAAGAATTCCCTGTAGCATTCTAGTATCTTGTCTACCTCCCCTGCACTCATGGCAGGGTTTGTACTTAGCCTCACCGCTGCAGTTAAAGCTACAATTTGATCTTTTGTGCTCTGTTGTGGCTCCTTTCTTTGAATAAACTTGATTTACCCCAACAGTAATTACAGGTGATCTCCCGCAATCTACTCAAAAGTAACATTTGGGACTTCAGATATCACTTTCACCCTCTGTGCTCTCTTTTCTAGCTGGAGCAGAAGATTCCAGGGCATTCCCAGCTGTCCCTTCCCCAACCATCTTGCGTTCTTCTTGGGTGTCTGGGGGTGATGGAAAAAGAGATTGGATTTGTTGACAGCTGTTAATTGTCATCTGCTCCAGCTGCCTGTCTTTCAATCTTCTGGTTCTAAGTTCTTGCTGATGCACAGAGTGAACTTTTAAATTCTTCCAAGAGAACCATTTCCCCCGAGGATTGCATACAGCCTCTACCTTTTAATGCTTGCATCAAACAGTCAAATTTATTTGCTTTATGCTTTCAAGTGGTCTATGAATTTGTCCTAAATTTTTACCTGTAAATCTTGGAGACCAGTTCCTGCCACAAATGCTTTCTTTTTGCTACATCAATTTATAGAAGCCTCCTCAGAAAAAAAGGTCATCACTTCATGAGCTTTTCACACCAGCTGACTTTGCAGGGCACTGTCCAGTTTTCTTATGGCCACTTCAAAAGGAATAAAAAATGCTTCTATGTTCCTTTAATCAAATTTTGGGAATGCTTACACAAACTTAAATGGCTCCCCACTTGGTCTTGGATTGACCCAGGGCGTTTCTCATCAGTGTGCTCTCAGAATCAAAGGCTTCTTTTTGTTGTTGTTGCAACCCTTTAAGTCAGTATTCAGCTATTGCAGAAAATACGGAGGCATGGGATTGAGGGTGATTTAGCGGTTTGGATCAGAAATTGGCTAGCTGTAAGAAGACAGAGGGTGGTGGTTGATGGGAAATGTTCATCCTGGAGTTCAGTTACTAGTGGTGTACCTCAAGGATCTGTTTTGGGACCACTGCTGTTTGTCATTTTTATAAATGACCTGGATGAGGGCGTAGAAGGATGGGTTAGTAAATTTGCGGATGACACCAAAGTTGGTGGAGTTGTGGATAGTGCGGAAGGATGTTGCAGGTTACAGAGCGACATAGATAAGCTGCAGAGCTGGGCTGAGAGGTGGCAAATGGAGTTTAATGCGGAAAAGTGTGAGGTGATTCACTTTGGAAGGAGTAACAGGAATACAGAGTACTGGGCTAATGGTAAGATTCTTGGTAGTGTGGATGAGCAGAAAGATCTCGGTGTCCATGTGCATAGATCACTGAAAGTTGCCACCCAGGTTGATAGCGTTGTTAAGAAGGCGTACAGTATGTTAGGTTTTATTGGTAGAGGGATTGAGTTTCGGAGCCATGAGGTCATGTTGCAGCTGTACAAAACTCTGGTGTGGCCGCACTTGGAGTATTGCGTACAGTTCTGGTCACCGCATTATAGGAAGGATGTGGAAGCATTGGAAAGGGTGCAGAGGAGATTTACCAGGATGTTGCCTGGTATGGAGGGAAGGTCTTATGAGGAAAGGCTGAGGGT